AGGGCCATTACGCACGTCAGTAGTCTCCCACCCAACTCCATATTCTCCATCCATGGATTGTCTAGCACTACTGTACTGTATTGCTTGAGCCCTGTTATCACGATAGACGAATTTATCAAACTAACTAAAGCATCTACTAGACTTGGATCAGAGTAGCAAGATTTGTTAATAGTTGAAACGAAGCGCGCGATTGTCGTCCATTAGAAACAAACGCCTAATCCAAGTAAGTACTAGACTTAGCTCTGGCATTATTGCCTAGACTAATTCCTCCCCCCTCCCCCCCCAGAGGACCCCAAATCATAGTCGCTTCCCGCACCTCTGGGTCGCCTACACAAGCGTTATTCAACCATCCCCTCCGACAACGCTACCGCCACATCATCGGCATACGCAGTGCCGCATCCATACTAAATCTTCGAGATTGATAACATTGAACTCATCTATTCCTAAATCGATTTAAGCTATATCGAAGCTTTCTATCGAACTGTCAATTGATATCACGTGTATAAGGATTAATCATAAGACGACTTACTTATCATTCCCCATCAACGCTTCGCATTTGTGCAGGGGCTTGCCAAGGATTCATCCGAGGCTTTGATATCTCTCTCTTTGCGCTAGTCACTGTAAGTTAGCTTCCATCATTAGACAATATTCCCATGCGAAAATCAACAATGACATCGCTATCAATCAATATCAAAGACTTTTTGAAGCTTTGAAACTTCCAATCTCTGTGTCAGGAGAAGATTTTTGATCTCTTTCGTAAAGAGTGCATTTGCGCCTTATGCGCATCTGCTTCACCCAATTTTAATTGATTCATGCTGACAGATATAAGTTGTCCAACATTAATCATTTTTGCGGGCCCAACAGACGGGATTTATCCAGTCTTCACCTCCCTCTGCCATCAAGCACCAAATATACATTACAACAAATCGATCAAAGCATTGTGAATAGAGGCAATTTCAATCCTTTATTTACAAAGATACAAATTAGAGGTCTACGACGACGCGAAACTTCTATCGTACTTCTATCCCTCGACTCACTTCCGAGAATTGTTTATTAACACAAAAGAGGGCACGACGCGTCGTGGGTAGTTTCTGCTATTTGCTAGCCCAGACATTTAGGGGATATCAACTGGATAAAATAACCGTAATCGTACGAATTTCTTCAGATCATCCAACTAACCACCCACACCAAGATCCTTCTGGGTATTTGTGGTCGGGCATACGCTATAACTTCCCTCGATACCATACCAATCACGGCCCAAACCCGTACACTACAAACGGCAGTATCAACAGAAACGATTCTCCATTTGGAAGAGCTACAGTACAAGTCTCCTGTCATTACTTGTCCTATATCCACCACTTTGGAGACAAGATCGGACGAACAGAACCATTACACGACACGCCAATATAGTGATAATAGGGGTATCAAGTCGAAGAAGATCAATCATATCCGTTTACTCAACCTAAGGGCGGGCACTTTTTTAAGTACATCTTCGTGCCTTCAGTGAATTCCAAAGAAGAAAAAAAGAAAAAAAGGAGAAAAAAAGGATTGTCTGCATTGTCAAGCAGACTTTGAGATTCTTCCTCCAGATATCGAGACGTGACGGCAGTTCGTGTTACCACCGCAGACATCCGTGAGATCCCGAATTCAATTCAAACCGTCGTCATAAGTATTTGTAATACTACGATTTCGACTTTCCCCTCAGCCAAACGGCAAAAAGTGTTCTGGACTTTCCTCTGCATCATCATATCGAAAGATTGAAACGCGCCCCTACTCCACTGTGACCAGGATAATATTGTGAAGAGAAGTGGGTTCGTGAACAGACCCAGATTCTCGCTCAGTAGAAGTCATCGAAATTAAGGTTTAGCAACTCTCAGTCATAGGAATTAAACATTAATTGCCGTGACGAGACATCTTCGCATTGTGTCATTGTCACATAGACACTTTTCGCCAGGAATTTTTGGTAGTGAGAAGAAGGATTGCAAAGAGATCTACAACGCTCTCTGGTCCGAGACTTCTTAGACTTGACACTAAAGGTAATTTTGACGCACTTCAACTGTATCCTCGCGATTATCAGCTGACGGAGGCTTTCTCAGACAGGCATAGCGCATACACGATTCAGTCCCAGCGATTTCCAAGTTTACCAGGTTGGCCATCCATTGCGAAACGGGCGTGCAACGATTATTACTACCATTATTGCCGGACTCCCACTGCCAGACTATCACACTCAACGGCCTATCCTACTACCTAGGGCTTACGGTCGATTCCAAAGAACGATCATTTTTGAAGAGCCGATAAACCTTGGTGTCAACTTCAACTAGTAGATACAGGTAATATATCCCGAATTTGCAAATTGCTAATAAGTCACCCATATCTACTACGGCCACGCGCCAACTGGTCTAGCTCCTACCTCTTCCGTCTCCCCATCCCCAACCCCAACGCAACATAACATCTTTGACACTAAGCCAAGGAATCATCATCGTTGCTTACTCATTCATTATTTGTGGAATCTCGAACAAGCCATTGAGAGCACTCGGTCAATGATACCTTTTTTTTTTTTTCTTTCTTCGAACTGAACTGAAGCGAAAGAAAAGAGAAAGAAAGTTTTCCGAACCCCACATCCACTATCCCAACCCAAGCATACCGAGAAATCATTTTCTTTCCCATTGCCAATTGTTCACAATACCATCTGCAAGTGAACAATTCTGATGCCGCAAGCTCTTTGGAACTAAAATTGAATCGGATCTAACGAATTTATTCCCTATTTGAGTCAAGGGGGGTAAAAGTATAGGAGAAGATCGGAATAGAATCCTAGTTGCAGTCTACCTGAGTTCTAGATACACACCAAGGACGAGCGACCATTCTCACGATACTTACGATACTAAGATACTACTTACGACACTACAACACTACGACACCACTACGCACGCGCTATCTACGACGCCACTACAATAAAGCGAAACTTTAAAAAGCACAGACTCAAGACACAGAAACCGAAGCAGAAGAAGCCGAATTACCAGAACCGTAGGCACGCACGAAATCCATAGATTGACACCCAAGACTTTACTAAAATCGAATCACATCTCCAAGCGAAAAGTGGATCACCAAACAATACAATACAATACAATAAATACCTACCTACCCACCTTCCTAGCACTGTCCCTACTACCTACGTAGGTACCTTGCAAGGATATCGCATACTCGGAAATCGGTAATACAGGTTTTGCCACTTTCCCGCTTTTATCGAATTTTGCGGGTGAACAATTGATTTGATTGATTTGATTCGTCCAAATCCATTTAATTCAATTCAACTCAATTAATTCAATTCAATTCAATTCAATTCAACTTTTATTTTAAATTTTTATTCGGTTGAATTTATTATTATTATTCTTCTTCTTCTTATTATTCTTCTTCTTACCTACCTATTATTCTTATTCCCTTTTTACTGTGGAGACCGCATTGGAAATTCATTTATTTATTTTTTTCATCATTTCTTCATCAGCCCAAGGAAAAAGAGAAACAAAACAATTCTTCTCGATTCAATTTTATTAATTGACGATCATTGCTCTGATCATTCTGAGGCACTTTCATCATTACGGAGCCATCGGTACCCACCCTGTCCTGGCCTGTCTTGTACTGTCCTAGGTTAGGTAGAGAGAGTCCACGGGTATCCTCTCAAGTATCGTATGAAATCGGTATCAATCAGTCAACCCATCAATCATCAGTAGTCACTCAGTATCAGCATCAGCATCAGCCACTCTTACTCTTTCTTACCTTTTACTTTTACTTTTACTTTTACTTTTACTTCACTCTTCACTCTTCACTCTTCCTTCACTCTTACCTACCTAGGCACGTACAGTACGGTACAGTAAGGTACTCCACAAAACTCTGATCTTTTTTTTTCTCTTCTTTTTTTCTTCTTCTCTTCTCTTTCTTTGATTATTAATAAGAAGGAAGAATTGATTGAGAAATCCCCAAAAAGATTTTACCTTTTTTTATTTTATTACCTTTTGATCATTGAAGAAGCCACCACCTTCGATCTATCATCTATCAATCCATCCATCAATCCATCAATCATCCACCATTAAATCAATTCATCAATTCACCTACTACAACTACTACAACACTACAACTACTACAACACTACTACTACTACCACTACTACTACCACTACTACTACCACCACCACCACCACTACCACTACCACTACCACTACCACTACCTCTCACACTACCTCTCACACTACCTCTCACACTTACCTCGAATTGGCAATCCCAATAATCAATCCAAACCACATTCATCCATTTTATTATACGCTCGCCCTCCTTCTTACCTTATTACATACACTTCTTGATTTCCAATTCCCATCATCCTCTCCCAAACAAACTCTTAAAAAGGTTACGGTGATTTTTATTACACACCCACACACCACACGCTACACACTAGCGTCAACCTCTTTTTTTAAAATAAAAAAAAATCTTTAGATCATCATATCATCGTCAAAATATTCCCAACCCACCGCGAACCTTTAGACACTTGACTCGAACTTGACTCGAACTTGACTCGGTTTCCCAAGACACCGGTCTTCGGAAACTTTTTGCCAACTCCAGTCTCTAGTCCTCGAGTCTTGTCCATTCTGGGAATACTCCACACACTACCTTCTCACTACCAAACTTGATCATCAGAGTTTCGATCTTCAACTATTTACTAAACTTTAAATCCCATAAAGACCCATATTCCATCTCAGTCCAAGCATCATAAGTTTGCTCTCTCCTCAAAGTTAGTCTCCTTGGGATCTCGACCAATCAATTGTCTTTTCCATCAACTTCTCTTCGCATCACACTCAAGGAGCCTACTACTTAAAGAACATCCGTCTCCCTCGATTCTAAAAATAAATCATACCTTCTTCTTTCTTACTTTCGACGGACTTATAAGTTTCTCCTTGAAGTATACACTAGGCAACGTCAAGTCTATACTTAAAGAATCTTTCCAAGTGTGATATGTCCCTGGCCTCCACACAGCATCCCTTCAATAATACTTTACCTTCAACATCCACCAACGACATTGAGAGTAAGAATCCCCCTGACGAGACAGAAGCAAACATAAGTACGATTATTGGGGCATATACAAACGGTCAGAAACACACCTCTATGGAACGAGGGTCTACCGCATACACGCAGTCAGGTTTGCAAACGCCCTATCCACACGCCTTCACAGACGCTCAATCTGAAGATTCCCCTGCAGATAATACATCTGCTGCGCAGTATCCACCACAACATCAAGACGTTCGTTCGAACCAATACTCAACAACAGCCACTCCAACCTCCGAGTACGGTGCTGCTTACCCCCCATCGTCGGCGCGTTCAGCCAACTTTGATCACTTACACAGAGCACATTATTCGAACAATAATAGCAATAGCAGTGGAGGAATGGCTCAACCAACAAGTCCGTCAATACCTTTGCAAGATGGCCGTTCAACCCATCAATCTTCGCAAATCAAGTCTGACCAGGATGTTCCTATAGATCCATCAATTGCTGCCTCCAGCCCAACTTACCCTCCGTACAACCCACAACACGCCACCTACTCCGCACAAGAACAGATGCATCACCCATACCCACCGACACATTCCGGCGGCTCGATGTACTCGCAACCAAGACCCAATTGGCACGGTTACGCCGACCCCTCTGCCCCTAATCCTAATGTCGCAAACCACCCAAATCACCCAAATGTCGCAAACCATCCAGCCGGCATGGTCCCAACTCCTTATACATCTGCCAGTCCTCAAGCCCAGTCGCTCCCAGCTTCCGCAGGACGACCCAGCCAAGTAAGTCTCATCTTCTATCCCGTTCACGGTGCGCGCATTCCGCGCGTGAGATCTGAAGCGCGCGTCGCATTGTTTTGACGTGCAGAACGCGGCGCGAGAATCGACGCGTCACTTGCACCGCGATCTATCTTTTCTTTCAATGTCACTTTGCAGAACAACTAAGAATTAACAGGACGCGCGCTTACCCCAGATTTACTCATTTGTCCCAATCCCTGGTTCTAGTCAGCAGAAGCGACCTAGAAGACGATTTGAAGAAATTGAACGTATGTATAAGTGTGGACACCAAGGTTGTGAGAAAGCGTATGGTACATTGAACCATCTTAATGCTCACGTAACCATGCAATCCCATGGAAACAAACGTACACCAGAAGGTATGTTGATTTTTTTTGATTTTTTTTTTTTTTTTTACATGCAATTCTACATTCATTGGTTGGGCCGTCGGAGAATTATTCGCCATTTCTACATGTGCCCTTCAGAGTTTTCACATTGCCTTGACGGATAGTTTGACCGGACCAAGTGCCACTTGCGGGTGGTTACAAGAGGCGTTGGACTAGGTCTGACATCGATTGGCGATAACCTTGCTCACTAGCATGGATCAAAAATATGTCGTGAAACATTGGCAAGCTAACGTCTGGTGCTCGCAGAATTCAAAGAAATTCGAAAGGAGTGGAAAGCTCGCAAGAAGGAGGAGGAACAGCAACGCAAGGAGCAAGAAGTCGCTCGTGCCGGTGGTGCTCCCGCTGTTCCGGAAGCCCATCCCGAGGCCGGCTCTGCGGCCTATTCGCGGTCGACTGTCCAACTTCCACCCATTTCCAACCCTATTGGGTATCAACCTGGTGCACAGGTTCCAAACCAATACCAGCAAAGCCAAGCACCAGCTTCTTCCGTCCAACATTTGCAAGGCTACGGCAATGCCCAGCCAAACATGGATCACTACACCGGGTACCCAGCTTCGCCTTACGGGTCTTCAAACCATATGTATAGCCACCAATGTCATTATCCCCTCATTTCTCCCCACTGATTGACCCCGAGCTAACATTCACTGTAGCTAATCCAGCTCAAACTAAGTATGAGCATTAAGTCGTATCATATGTATCATATCTGGGTTCGCGTTTGAGGTTGTTCGGGTTTGCAAGTTTTCCTTTTCAAAGTTTTTAGAAGGACCTTTTCTATTCGGTTCGCTGCCGTACATGATGCAAATATTTGATGATCACGTAGTTCTATGTGGAAAACACGGTACATGGGGTGGTGGATGGTTGTATTCTCTCGCATTTGGTTATGGCTGTTACTACCTCCTTGGGGGATTGAATACACGCCACTTTATTTTTCATTACTCTACACGCAAACGGAACGGGGTTGGGGAGTTGTCATACACGCATGAGGGGTTTGATCCGGGTGTGGCTGTTAGGCTTCACGGTGCGTGAAAACAAAAGGAGTTTCTTTAGTAACAGGCAAAGAAAGGAGATGGGGCATTCAGATTATTTTGCCGGGTTTGAAAGTCACAACTTTATGTTTGCGGTCTGCGTTATTCTATTAGTTTTGATGAATAAACCAATAGTTTAACAGCATTTTCGCAAAATTGTTTTATTGTTGAGTCTGCATATCATATTTTATGAGGGTTATTGGGACAAAGTTGGGCAAAAGTTTATGTACTACAAAGCAACCAATGATGATATTCCATTGTTGGTAATTGTTAGTTAGTACGATAATCGAAGAAACTTGTCGAGCTATAGAGATTATAAAAGTGTCCAGATTTTTGAGTTGTTGATTGTTTAGTTTATGTGTATATATGCATGTATGATGTTGGTAGTAGTGTTGATAATGTTGAGGATGGGGATAGGGATGGGGTTGATATTAACATTTTATTCTACTTTCACTAGGAGATGATAGCTTATAAAAAGAGGGGAGAGGGGAGAGGGGAGAGGGGAGAGGGGAGAGGGGAGAGGGGAGAGGGGAGAGGGGAGAGGAAGAGGTAGAGGGAAAGGGGAAGAGAAGAGAGTAGACAAGATTATTGGAGATTGGGGGGTTATATTTGTTGCAAACGTAGTTGTGGGAGGAGGGGAAGAGAAAGGGAATAGGTGATAGGGGGTAGGGAGGCAAGAGAGGTAGAAGGCAGGTAAGTAAGTACATTCTACTATGCGATCAATCATATACGTTGTAAGATGTTATAGCGACAGCGACGGATTGGTTATTCAGGTGGTTAGATGTAGGTAGGTAGGTGGTTAGTTAGTACTTGTCATTGGATTTACTTTACATCCATCACTTCACGCTTCCTGTCCCTTTTATGATCCTTCCATTCATTTATCTCGTGCTTCTTGTTACTTGTTGGATAGATAAGATAGATGGCGGGTTTTGTTGTTGCTGGATGGTGCGTTGTGTTGTGTTGCATCATATCATATTATATCGTGTATCATGTTGTGTATCATGTGATGAATACGCACTCTCTTTCTTTCTATCTTTCTTTTCTTGGTAGAAGCAAATCGCAGCAGTGAAATCGCAGCAGTGAAGTGGAATTGTAGATGGGAGTGTATTCTTTCCTCTTTGATTCTAAGGAGGGGAGGGGGGAGAGGGGCAGAGATTGATGGGCGATTACGGTTATGATTGGGATGGGGATGTGTGTACGTCGGTATGAGGAATGGGAATAGGAATGGGGATGGGGATGGGAATGGGAATTTGTATACGTCATGTTGAATCGAATGGAAAGCTGGATATGTGATTTGTGATGATGTGATTGTGGGAAGGGCAATGATGCGTTGGGTTGAGCTGTTGAGTTGCGAATGGATGCGAATGGATACAATTCTAGAATCTACGTCACTCCCTCACTCACTCACTCGAGAAAAATTGCTATGATATGATGATCATTTTCGAGAAATATATGTAATATGTAATATGTAATTCATGATTCTTGTTACGTCAACCTGCTAGCACAACGTAATATCCACACTGTGCGATTCATCATGTATTCATCACGAACAACATGCCATGCCCCTCAACCCACCACGCTTTCCACATTCACATTCGCGGTTCGCAATCCGCAGTTTGTAATTCTGAATATCTTGTAGAAGGAAATTCTTGGCATATTTTTGTTTTTTCTCTTGGTGATTTATTCTAGTGCTTTTGTATCCATCTATCCATCTATTCATCTATCCATCTCATCTCTAGCAACGAAACCTAAATCTCTACATACATCCATGAAACATCCATTAAAATAAACTCTACTCACCCTCTCCAGTAACCCAGAAACCCAAACCCTCGTCTGCACATCGAATTCTCCGATCTGCATATCACATCACATCTCCATTCCCATTCATTTTATCTCATCTCTTGGCACTGGACGAGGATTCAAAAAAGTTTCTTTCTTTCTACTCACTCGGTCAATCGCCTAAAATGTCTAATTTTTAGGTAGGTATGTAGTGATAGCGTCATCAATGACAGATGTCACGGTAATGGATTAGGATGTTTAGGAGAAGAGAGGAGAAGAGAAAGTTTATTTGGGAGGAACGGGTGGATGGTGTGAGGATGATGTGAGGATGATGTACAGAATGGTGTGCATTAGTATGTATTAGTGTGTATTAGCATTAGTTGATTGGGGAAAACCAAGGTTTGGAGGAGGATGGTCTTGGAATGGATGGGTTAGTTTAGTTTAGAGTTCAAATGTTAGCGCAGGAGGAGGGGGAGTTGGTGGGTTTGGGGGCTTGGGAGCTTGGGAGTGAGAAGTAATGGGATGGATGGAGTGGGTTGAGCTAGGGAATTGGATTTGACTACTTTGAGATTCGGTCGTTGAGTTTAGTTGGTATTTGATTACTTTCACAGTGGTGTTGAATATCAATAATCAATAATCAATTATCAATTATCAAATGTTATTATTATTTTTACTTTCTTGATCATTTTTGATATTTTCAATATTTTCAATATTTTCAATATTTCAATATTTCAATATTTCAATATTTCACCTAGGGAATATCTATCTATTCTCGCTAGTTCATACCATCATATTATCATACCATTCATCATACTAACTTAAACTTAGTCGATCCCATACAAACTAGTTTCTTGGTACCAATATACCGATATACGTACTAACAGTCCATAATACCCGAGGGAACAAGATGGTGGATTTCGGATACTTTGGGTGAGAGTATCGTAGTGTGGCTGTGGGGAAAGTTAAATGTTACGTATTACGTGGATGATGGTATTTCACTGCGGGTGTGGATAGTAAGGGATAGGAAGAAGGGGGACTGGGGTTGGGGTGGGGGTTATTCGGCTAGGGAAGTATATTCTGGGAGGATGGGACGGGAGTAGGGAGATAGGATGTGGAATTTGGGTTTGTGGTTTGGGTTTGTGGTTTGGGTTTGTGATTTGGGTTTGTGATTTGGGTTTGGGGATGGAATGTGTGCATGGTGGGTTTTTGTAGGTGGTGAGGTTTTGTGGATATTGGGTGGGAAGAGAGGGAGAGAGAGAGAGGGATTGTGTGAGTTTCTCTTTTGGGAGATATAGATTGTGGAATGGATTGGGTTTGACAGTTATTATTAGTATTATTACATTTATCATGGCTATCATAGCTAACATGGTTGTCGTGGATACATTACGCGAAGAAAAAAAAAAGGAAAGGGAAAAGAAGGTACACCGAGATAATCTCTGAAATGATGACGAGGAAAAACTTGTGACGTTGATAGAAAAGGAATAGGATGATTATCACTTAACGAAATATCGAGTTCCGGAATGACAAGCTTAGGATGTTCAGATGGAGTTTTGTGTGTGGAAGGAGTGATGGGTATAGTTGTCAATATGGGTATGTCGATATCGTGGCTTCTGTTTTACGACATGGTATACAAGTAGTCCTTGGAATTCTATCTCGGGTTCATGTTTTTGGGGAACTTATTCCATGGATAATGAGTAGTTTAAAGGCGTGCTTTGCAATAGTTTGGCACATATGATTTTACTCTTTCTTCGAATATCGAGTAAGGGCTAGTTTGGATGTACAAATCCGTGCTGAATCCACTAAATATTCCATACTTTTTAAAAGCGGATTTTGAATTTATATTTAAACATTAAATTGCAAATTCTATTGAATAATCCACATTTTAATAAATTTAGTATATTTTGAAGTGAAAAAGAAGTGGATTATTTTAAAATAATACTAAATAATTCACATTTTCTAATAAATTTGTATAAAAAAATGAAAGTATAGATTGAAAATAAGAATTAAAAAAAACTAATCTTATTTTCAATTTAATAAATAATTCATGCTTTTTTAGGCTTTTATAAACCTTTTATTCTATATTTATATAATATTATAATAATATTAATACTTTAAATATCTAAATTTATAGAATATCTTTATTTTTCTTCAAATTATCTCTGATTTCGATTTAGATTATTTTATATTTCTATTCCCTATATATTAGAATATATATAGTTTAATTTAAAAGCAGATTTTTCAATATTCTTTTTATTATATTATTAAATTATATTATTGATTTAGATTGTAATAAACCACCTTTTTCTTATTTATAATAAATAATAATAAGATTGATAAAAATAATTAATTTATTTTTATCTTAATATATAATTTAGTTTCTATTATTGGCTTTTTTTATTCTATTTTAATCTTGAAAAAAAGAATTAGTATTCCTAATGAATTTAAAATATAATCTCTTTTTAATTTTAAATACCCTCAATGTTATTAAGAACAATTATATATGCCTTTATACACTTTTCAATTTTTAATTGATTTTTGTTATAAAAAAATAAAATTATAATACTTTCAATATATTTCAATTAATTAAAAACTATATGTATTTCTATATATTATAGATTAGCATAAAACTATATATAATATAATCAAAGCTTTTTCTTATTCTAAAGAAATAATTTATAAATATAAAAAATATTTTATATAGATTTATTTATTGATTTATTCTAATATATTTTAAAATGGTTTTATTAAGTTTTAGATATTATAATAATATTATATCTATTAATAATAAAACTATCAAATTTAATTATATAAATCATTTTTTCTTAAATAATAGAAAATGAAAAATATTATAAATATTTTGCGAATTATTTAAATATTCTTAATAACATCTTTATTCTAATAATAATACCTTTTGAAAATTGATCCATTTACTTTAATTATAAGGAATATATTATATAGAATATTCTTATAATAATTATTTTTAATTTATAATTTTATTATATATTAACTAATTAAAAAGATTCTATGAATAATCAAAAGGTATTTTCAAATACTTTGATTTCAAAAGATTTATAAATTCCAAAAGGTTATTATTATTTAGATAATATAGAATATATAAATATTAGGTAGATTCTTATTTTATTTAAAAAAATAAAATATTATTTATAAAAGCAATTAAAATCTAATAAGATATTTAAAACATTAAAAAAACTTTTTAATCTTTGATATTCTTTTTTATAAAATAAAGTTGAAAGAATCTTTAGAATATTTAAAATATACTTTTCATTTTTAATATAATAATAAAAATATTTATATATAATTCAAATATATATAGTTTATACTTTATGTACTCTATATAACTTTATTTAATAAAATAGTTTCGAAAAAGATCTATTTGAAATTCAATTTGATTATATTATCAATTATTTTCTGAATATTATAGATAATATAATAATAAATTTAAGTAATAATGAATTAAACTCTATTTTATTCTAATTTATAGATTATTTTCAATAAAGAATTATAAAGATTATATAAAGAGATTATTATAAAATAAAAAGAGTTTGAAAAATATAAGATAAAAAAAGGCAATATTGTTTTAAAATAAAATTTAATAAATATATATAATTAAAATAAAAAACAATTATTAGGGTT